CTGAACCATCGATTCATTTCAGAAATCACACTTGTCCTTGCTGCCTATCAAATGTAAAGTCACATTATTTACCCTAGAATAAAAAGAATTTTTGGGGGGGGGTTAGTGCAGGGGTAGGCATTTGCATTGCACACAGCCATCCCAGCTTCAATTCCAGGCATCTGATATGGTCCCCAAGCACCAATAGAAATAGTTCTTGAGCGGGGACCTAGGATTAACCCCTCAGCATCGCTGGATATAACCTCAAAAGCAAAAATAAATAAATAAATAAATAATAAATATATATTTTTTAGGTTTTAAAATTACTGCTTTTATGCAGCAATACGGTTGGAACTGGAAGATACCGTCTTGAGTGAAGTTAGCCAGAAAAATAAAACAAAAACAGGATGATGTCACTCACCTGTGGAATACCAAACACTGGATGTGGAAATGTACTGTAAAGGGGCTGCTTAAATCATCCCTGATTCCAGTGTTTAGAGAGGAGCCGGACAAAGAAGGAAAGAAATTTGGGGCGCAAGAGAACCAGAAGTTTACAGGGATCAGGAATTCATTTATGCCAGTGATATGAGTGAGAGGTGTAGTCATTTACCCAAAACACAGATGCAACAGAACTGAAAACAAGAGATCTAAGCCGTAACCACTGAAACGTAGTCATGTTCTTGTCCAGATGACAGGCGGGGGTAGAGTGAGGACTGGGGTGGGGAGGGAATACGGGAACACGGGTGGAGGGAAGCTGATTCAGGCATTGGTGTTCAAGTATTGTACACCTAAGTACAACTATCAATAACTTTGAAAATCCTGGCACTTTAATGAAAACTTTAAAAAACAATACAATGAAATAAATTTCCAGAATTCAGAACCCACTGAGGTTAAAGACCCTCTAGTCCCAGAATTAGGCTCCGATATTTTTCCTGTGGTGCTGAGACCATAGATGTGGTTGTGGGGATGGAGCCGGACCCCACCTTTCAAGTTGCATGCTCGGTGACTGAGCACTCCAATGGCATAATAGTTTCAACAAGAAAATCCTACAGCACACTTGTATGCAATTCCCCTGTTCCCAAAGGAAACTGCTGTAATGCCACATCCTGAACCTGTGATTTGAGTTCTGAAATCAAACAAAATGCACAATGAGAATTATTCCAGTGTTGAATGACCAAGCATGTGGAGGACATCTCCATAGTTCTCACAGTCCAATCAAGCCTACATAAAGGAAGTGTTGCTGGGAGGAGCTCAGCAATCCACAAAAAAGCCTTTTGGGTTTTGTTTTTAATCAGACCCAGTGATGCTTGGGATACCATAGGGGATGCTGGACATCGAAGGTAGGCAGCATTTGTAAGGTGAGCACCCTCCGTGATGCACTGCTGTTCTGGTCCTAATTAACTTCACTATGGGCTCGCAGTCACAATTTAACATACACACAATAAAACAATTTTTGGTGCGTACAAGCGTACAGCAGGTAGGCATTTGCCTTGCATGAGGCTGACAGGGGTTGATCCTTGAACACTGCCAAAAGCAACTTACGAGAACCACCAGGAATAACTGCTGAGCATCCCCAGGCCCCAAAACAAAAGAAAACTAAACTTCTTTCTATATTCAAAAAACATGGCAATGATCCAAAGGCAAAGATAAGCATGGTGTCAGATTAACTGAGCGGGGTCCAGAAAAGGTACCCGACCCTTTAGGAGTACAGTCAGGCTAGTTATACAGCCGGGGAAACAAGGGCCTTGAAACACATGGACTATTAGACATCCCTGACAGATGAGGAAGAATGACAACAAAGTCAAGAAAGCAAAGCACAGGATCTCTCCGTAATGAATAGCTCCGGGGAGAAGACTCCCCTACCCCATGCCGCACCCCCACATCACATGTTCTAGGGATGAGAAGGGGACACTCAATGTCCAATGAGCAACTCAAAGATTTTGTGGACTGGAAGACTCCTGGGTTGGCCACATGCAAGGCAAGCATCCTACTTGCTCTACTATTGCTCTGGCCATTTCTAAATATATGGTAGAAAACGGGAAAAAAACGGGAGAGCACTTACAAAGCTTTCAGGTTTAAGTCTCGGTCATACAGTGAAACACCTGTCCCTTCACCGCATATTTTCCACCACTAAAAAACCCAAGTATTCCCCCTACCTGTGGGGCAGATAATTTCCACATTACTCTTGCTACTTTGATTACAGTCAATATTTTGACACGAGACCCACCATTATTATTTGGGATTTTACCCCAGCACTCAGATCTGCTGAAAACGCAACAGTAGACAATTCTTTTTCTATTGCTGGTTATAAATAACGTATGAATTTGAAATTCTGAAATTTTAACAAATCTGGAGGGATTTCTGCCAAACCAGCTGGTTTCCGAGATTAGTTCCTAAGTCCCTGGGATTATGGCCATTAAGCAGCTTTATCACGAGCCAGATAGGCGGTTCTCTGGAATGACATAGGGTCTTGTTGGGGAGGGGAGGAAAGGGCCGGCTCCACCCCATCCTGAGAGGCCCCACATATCTCATGGGTGTGGACCCAAACCTGACTTTCCAATGGCGTTTGGAGGATGGAGGCCACCGAGCCGCCAAGGGAGAGCAGGTGGAGAGACAGCACCAATTCCCAATGGGGTGGCCAGGGGACAGTAACCTACTGCAGGGTCCAGATGCATTTCTACTAAAAGGCGCTGGGTTTCAAGATTTGTCTCTGAATCTCTGGGATCATGGCCATTATGCACCTTGATCACGAGCCACAGAGACCAATCGTGGGCACCAGACAACTCGGGGTCTTGTTGGGGTGGGGAGAAAAGGGTCGTCTCCACCACCATCCCGTTAGACCCTGCATGTCTCCTCACTGAGGGCCCAAACCTAACCGTCCAGAAGCCATTAGTGATGGTGGCCACTGAGCCACCAGGCACGAAACCTATTCCCACGTGAAATACCCAGCTTTGGTAACCTACTGTGGGAACAAGACACATTTCTGCTGAAAACCGCTGGGTTCCAATATTTGTTTCTGAGTCTCCGGGATCATAGCCTTTAAGCAGTTTGATCAGGAACCACAGAGATCTTGCCTCTAATTATATAGCTGAGCCAGAAATGGTTTGTTGGTCTGTCTCGCACATACCTAACTTTTGGCCATTTACTTTCTTGGAAGACTTTGCCCAAAGTTTTTGGAGTCTGGCCAAAGGCACAACAGCAATTTTGGGGTATCTGGAAGTCTGACGGTGCCATCAAGCTGTTTATGGACTCACCTTACAGACACAGATTGACTTGCTGGTGGTAACATACCCCCGAGAAGTAGAAATTCTATATATGAAAAAAACACCAATAGTGGGGTTGGACTCACTGTAAAGCGAGTAGGATGCTTGCCTTGCTGATCCAGGTCAAACATCCCCATCACATAAGAACCCAGCAGCACCACAGAATAATTCCTGAGCTGCAGAACCAGAAGTAACCTTGAGCATCAAAGAATCCCTTCCAACTCCCCTGAAAAAAAGAAGCTATTAAAATTAACCCAAAGAGGGGCTGAAGTGATAGCAGAGCGGGTAGGACATTTGACTTGCACGTGACCAACCCGATTCAAATTCCAGCAACAATATGGTCCACTGAGCTTTACCAGGAGTAATTCCTGAGTGCATAAGCCAGGAGTAACGCCATGTGCAAAGCTGTCTGTGACCCAAAAAGCAAAAAAAAAAAAAAATTAATCCAAAGAGTAAATTTTCAGAGGCAAATACCTCTCACTTGTCCAAATGCGCCCCAAAGACCCAACCCCAGCATGGAAGCCAATGAAAATGACCGACGGCAAAAGTGTCCCTTTCCTTTGGGGACTGTCCATGAAAATATCTGGAGTTTCGATTAGTGTTATGTCCAGTCCAAAGGCTCCAAAGAGGGTCCTGCACAGTCTCGAGTAGGGAGGAATGAGATGGCCATGATCCCCCTCTCTGCAGGCTCCTCACACCAAGGCCTTAAGTCTATGTGCCCACCCTCCAGTGCCATCTTGGACCTGGATGTGATCGTGGCTGCAGAGGCCCTCAGGATAACGCACCCTCACCCATGGCACCTGCGCCACAGAACAACCCCCAACGAACCCCTCAAAAGCTCCACATCCCCTAAAGCCTGGATATCCAGAAAAAGTAAAAACAAGCATGGCGTGACCTGCTGCTCAAGTTCTCAAACCGGGATTTTCGGGGCGCCAAGCATTCCAAATCCTAACACAGGAAAGAATGAAGAATGAAGGTTTACCTGTTTTTCCATTTTCAAAGTATTCAACGCAGCATCTTGGTTGATTTCTGCCATAATTCTCGCTAACCAGCCCCTGGGGGCCAAGCCAGAAGCATAGCAAACTATAAGAGTAGTGAGCTCTGACACTTCTGAGCAGGGGAGTGTTTCTGTACCTGTTCATTCAGTCACCGTCCTCCTTATTTTCATCACCAGGACCCATTATTTACAAGTTAACACACAAGCAATTCCAAGCACAAGAATACTGGCATAGGTGTAGCCAGGGTGAAAATCAGCAGGTACCTTTCACTGACATGAGGAGAAGCCTGTCCCAATGCAGGCAGGCTTACTTCCCTTTTAACTGCACTTTTTTAAACAAATACCCTTGACCTTCGTGTCCAAAGGAAACTTGCTTGAATGACTTGTCCTGTTCTGTCATTAGAGACTGTTATTAAGGGATCAAACCATCCAGCATATATTTTTGTTTATTAAGGTGTGAGGGCTACATTAAGTATTGAGGCCATACAGAGGCCTTCCCACATTCCTTACATATACAGTTTCTATCCAGTGTGAATTTTCCTATGTACACTAATATTTGAGGCTGTAGCAAAGGCCTTCCCACATTCCTTACATATATATGGTTTCTCTCCACTGTGAATTCTCCTATGTACAGTCAATTGTGAGGATGAAGTTAAGGCCATTCCACACTCCAGACATACCTAATACTTCTCTCCATTATGAATTCTCATGTGTAGACTAAGGGAAGAGAACCGTGTGAATGCCTTCCCACATGTCTGACACTGATGAGGTTTCTCTCTGAGATGAATTTTCATATGTGCAGTAAGTCTAGAGGCTCCAGCAAAGGCCTTGCCACATTCCTTACATATATATGGTTTCTCTCCTGTGTGAAGTCTCCTATGTACATTAAGGCTTGAGGCTGTAGCAAAGGCCTTTTCACATTCCTTACATATATACGGTTTCTCTCCAGTGTGAATTCTTCTATGTATAGTAAGTTTTGAGGCTGTAGGAAAGGCCTTCCCACATTCCTTACATATATACGGTTTCTCTCCAGTGTGAATTTTCCTATGTACACTAAGGCTTGTGGCTTCAGCAAAGGCCTTACCACATTCCTTACATATATACGGTTTCTCTCCAGTGTGAATTCTCCTATGCACAGTAAGTTTTGAGGCTCTAGCAAAGGCCTTCCCACATTCCTTACATATATACGGTTTCTCTCCAGTGTGAACTCTCCTATGTACAGTAAGTTTTGAAGATGTAGCAAAGGCCTTTCCACATTCCTTACATACATATGGTTTCTCCCCTGTGTGAATTTTCCTATGTTCACTAAAAGTTGAGTCTACAGCAAAGGCCTTCCCACATTCCTTACATATATACGGTTTCTCTCCAGTGTGAATTCTCCTATGTATACTGAGGCGTGAGGATTTAGTAAAGGCCTTTCCACATTCCTTACATATATATGGTTTCTCCCCAGTGTGAATTTTCCTATGTTCACTAAGAGTTGAGGCTACAGCAAAGGCCTTCCCACATTCCTTACATATATACGGTTTCTCTCCAGTGTGAATTCTCCTATGTATACTGAGACCTGAGGATCTAGTAAAGGCCTTTCCACATTCCTTACATATATATGGTTTCTCTCCCGTGTGAATTTTCCTGTGGTCACTAAGTATTGAGGCTACAACAAAGGCCTTCCCATATTCCTTACATATAAAAGGTTTCTCTCCAGTGTGAATTCTCCTATGTACACTAAGATTTGAGGCTACAGCAAAGGACTTCCCACATTCCTTACATATATACGGTTTCTCTCCAGTGTGAATTCTCCTATGTACACTAAGACTTGAGGCTGCACCAAAGGCCTTCCCACATTCCTTACATATATACGGTTTCTCTCCAGTGTGAATTCTCCTATGTATAGTAAATTTTGAAGGTCTAGCAAAGGCCTTTCCACATTTCTTACATATATATATTTTCTCCCCAGTGTGAATTTTCCTATGTTCACTAAGAGTTGAGGCTACATCAAAGGCCTTCCCACATTCCTTACATATATACGGTTTCTCTCCAGTGTGAATTCTCCTATGTATACTGAGGCCGGAGGATTGAGTAAAGGCCTTTCCACATTCCTTACACATATATGGTTTTTCTCCAGTGTGAATACTTCTATATATACTGAGGCCTGAGGATAGAGTAAAGGCATTACCACTCTCCTGACATATATAAGGCTTCTGTCCACTATAGGTTTTCAGAGGTCTATTAAGACTAGAGGTCTGAATAAAGGCCTTTCCACATGTCTGACATTCATGAGGTTTCTCTCCTGTATGAATTCCCCTATGCATAATAAGATGTGATGATTGATCGAAGGCCTTCCCACATGCTTCACATGCAAAAGGTTTCGCTCCTGAATTTATATTCATAAAGTCATGATGGAGTAACTCTTGACTCACACTTTGTTCTCGGGGTTGACTTTTCTGGGGATTCTGTCCACTGTGGTTTTCTAAGGGAATACCATAGTGCTGAGAAAATGGGGAGGTTCCCCCACATTCCTTACACGTAGATGGGTTCTGCTCACAGTGACTGTGGTTGAGGGTATGTTGCTGTGAGGGACTCACTATAAACAGTGCTTCTCTCCCTAGCAGGTGCCCCACCTGGGAATTTTGTTGTGAACTGAGAACAACACACTCCAAGGAACTTTTTCTAGGAGAGGGCTTCTTCAAAGTGAGGTAGCTCTTGCCATTCTGATCACTCTCAGTAGACATCCCGCCTGTCTCGTCGTCCTCAGGGGGCTGAGAGCAGGACTGATCACTCGAGACATTATCATACAGTGCAGGATCAGAGACATTCCACTCGGGGTGGCAGCTTTCCTGTAGAACAACAGAGGATTCTAATTATTGACATATTCACTGAGTCTTCCTGTCAAAAAAACTGAGCCCTTCAGATGTGGTTTCACACATATGCACCGCACAAATGCAATTACTGACATATGAATTGTCTTACTATTGAATAACTTCATGTTACTGTAAGTTGGACGCACAAAATTGATGGATAGAGAGTCAGTAAATTCTGTGACTTCCTCCCCTTTAAATTAATGAAGGAATACAACTGGAAACAATTCCTTCTATAGAAAACGGATACATCAATTTCAAGAGAAAATGAAATATATCCACATGTGGGTTTGGTTAAAGCTCAGTGTGGAACCTGTGATGCAGGGGTGAAGACAACGCTGCATCGTCCCACAGCTGAGACAGACCATGTGGCCATTGCAAAGCTCTCACCACAATTGATGCCTTTCAGGATCAATAAAGTTTTTTTTCCTTTGTTTTGCAGTTTCTATTTATTGGGGGTTGGGTGGGTAGAGGGGCACACCATGCAGTGTCTAGGACCAGTTTTGTCAGTCTATGCTGTCTATAAGGTGTGCTGGGTAAGGAATATCCGTCCATGTGCAAAGCAATTCTATTTCTCACTGCACCATCTCTAGGGCACAGAAATCAGCTTTCTAAACAACTACCACTTTCAAGCAAATAAAAACTCACAGTATTTTTAAACATGGTTGATTTCAGCACCCAGTGAAGCTAAGGGTCCTCTACTCCAAGCATCAGGCTTTGGAATTCCTCCCTGCCATTCCCAGCCTTCCACCTTAACAATCACATACTTGGTCCACTCCTGCTGGCATAATAATATTTATTCTGAATTAGCGAATCTTACCAACTCACTCGTACTTGCGGACCCCATTCCCAAATCAAAGTGCTGTAATGCCAAATCCTGAAGCCGCGGTTTCAGTTCTGAAACTGAACAAAACATGCAATTCAAGCACTTGTCAAAAAATGTAGCAAAATGATGCCATGTAGTTAAGAGTACATCTCTGTGGTTCTCAAATTCCAAAGAGTCCCACACTAAAGAAAAGATTCGGATAGTGGAAAACTGTGAGGATCTTGGCAATTCTACACTAGGTTTTGTTTTTGTTTTTGAGCAGACCTGGTAATGTTCGGGGAACCAGGTTATTGAACAGATTATTGAACAGGTCACATTCAGGCGCTGCAAGGCACTCCCTGCTGTACTATCATTCAGATCCAAACTAGCTCTGTTATGGTCTTACTTATTCGAAAGCCATGGAAACAAATTACAGGATCATTCTGTGACTGACAGTCCAGGGGAATGAAGAGCAGCGTGAGTGCGGCACAGATCCAAGAATCCAGAAGACCAAGGCCCCAATCTCAGCAGTGTGTTTCCTGCATGCTCAGTGCAGCCATTCACTGCACAGGGCCTGAGCCAGGAAGGTTCCTCAGACACTCACCCGTACACACTTCTCTCCTCCCCAACCTCAGGGCTCCTCCTTCCAGCCAGGAGATCACCGCAGGCTTCAGGCCAGAGTGCCCTGCCCGACAGAGACAGAGGCATGGATAAGTGACAGGGAAAAGGTGAAAGGTAAATCCCCATGTTTTCCTGATATAACTGGGCAAATATATGAAAGGCATGAATAGAATGTCCATTTCCAAAATGCCACATATTTCTAGTTTTCGAGAGGTAAGACCCAAGAAAATACCACAAATACTCTAGACCTGGCCTTGTGTATGGCCGACAGGTGTTTGATCAGCACAATATATTGTTGGTTTTTATCTTGTTTGGGGTCTCACGTGGCAATGCTCAGGGGTGACTCCTAACTCTGTATTCAGAAATCAATGCTGCTGGTGCTCGGGGATGACATGGGTTGCCGGGAATTTAACCCACGTGCGCCGCTTGCAAAAAAATCACTTTCCTCCCTGTACTGTCTCTCTAGGCCCAGCAGCACATGGAGATTCCTGAGCCCCTCATGACCTCATCACAGATTTCAGTAAAACTAAGTGCATAATAAATCTGGAAATGGCTAAGGGTGGCAAGAGACCCTTATTTTTTTTAAGCTAAAACATGTATCCAGACGGGGGTATGGTGCCGCCAGTAGATCAATTTGTACCTGTGAGGCGAGTGCATCAGCAGCCTGATGGCGCCTTCAGACTTCCAGATACCCCCAAATTGCTTCTGTGCCTTTGGCCAGACCCCAAAAACTTGGGGCAAAGTTTACCAAGAAAGTAAACAGCCAAAAGTTAGGTATGTGGGAAACACACCCACAAACCACCTCCGGCTCAGCTATATAATTGGAGGCAAGGCCTCTTTGTTTTCTGATTCAACTGCTTAATGTCCGTAATCCCAGAGACTCAGAAACGAATCTCAGAACCCAGCGGCTTTAGGTAGAAACGCGTCCAGTCCGTGCAGTAGGCTACTGGTGCTGGGCCAACCCAGGTGGGAATAGGTTTCGTGCCTTGGCCTGTTCCCCGTGTCAGCCAAGTGGCCGCCATCCTTCAGAGGCCACTGGATAGTCAGATTTGGGTCCCCAGTGACGAGACACACAGGGACTCATGGGATGGGGGTAGAGCCAGGCTTGTTCTCCCCACCCCAACGAGACCCCAAGTCACCACCCACGAATAGCCTCTCTGGCTCCTGATCAAGATGCTTAATGGCCATGATCTCAGAGACTCAGAAACAAATCTCAAAACCCAGTGGCTTTTGGTAGAAATGCGTCCGGACCCCACAGTACATTACTGTGGCCGGGCCACCTCAGGGAAGAAAGGGTGTTGTCCCTCCGCCTGCTCTCTCTTGGTGGCTTCATGGCCGTCATCCTCCAGAGGCCACTGGAGAGTCAGGCTTGGTCCCGCAGTGACGAAACTTGTTGGGCCTCACAGGATGAGGGGGCAGCCGGGCCTGTCCTCCCCACTCCAACGAGACCAAGTCATCGCCCACGAACGGCCTCTCTGGCTCCTGATCAAGCTGCTTAACGGCGTTGATCCCAGAGTCTCAGAAACAAATCCTGAAACCCAGCGGCTTTTGGTAGAAACGTATCCGGACCCCGCAGTAGGTTACTGTCGCCAGGCCACCCCAGGGGGGGGAAGGGTGCTGTACCTCCACCTGTTTCCTTCTGGTGGCTCGGTGGCCGTCTTCCTCCAGAGGCCACTGGACAATCAGGCTTGGGCCCACAGTGACGAAACTTGTTGGGCCTCACGGGATGGGGTGGAGCCGGGCCTGTCCTTCCCACCCCCACAAGACCCCAAGTCATCACCCACGAATGGCCTCTCTGGCTTCTCAACAAGCTGCTCAATGGCCATGATCCCAGAGACTCAGGAGTAGATCTCGAAACTCAGTGGCTTTTGGCAGAACTCAACCAGATTTAAGTGTTAAAATTTCATAATTTCAAAGCCAGATGGCCCTACTGCAGCCACGAGACATCATATGTTATTCATAACCAGCAATAGAACACAAATTGTCTATTGTTGCCTTTTCAGCAGATCTGAGTGTTGGGGTAAAATCTCAAATAATAATAGTGTGTCTGGTGTCGAAATATTAAATGTGATCAAAGTAGAGAGAGAGTAATGTGGAAATCATTTGCCCCACAGGTAGGGGGAGGGTGTGGGATGGGGGTATACTGGGGTTTTTGGTGTTGGAGAATGGGCACTGGTGAAGGTACAGGTGTTTCATTTTATGACCAAGACTTAGACCAAAAAGCTTTGTAAATGCTCTCACGATGATTCAATAAATAAATTTATAAACAATGAAAAAAAAAGTAAGGTGGAGTTCATGCACAAGTCAATCAGCTAATCAGTGGCTGAATAAATAGCAGTACTCCTACAAAAAAAAAAAATGTACCCAGAAAGAGAACAATGCAGGAGTATCTCACGGCCAATCCAGTTGCAATACGCGATATCATCTAGGGTCCCTCATGCCAGCCAGGAGTGATCCCTGAGTGCAGAGTCCAGGAGAAAACCCTAAGTCCTGCTGAAATCTCACAAGAACCATTAGAAGTAAATCCAAGCACTGAAATAGGGCCGCGTCTAATGGTTGAGAGACGAGATATCAAATCCACTGTGGTGGGAGAGAGATAGTACAGCACATAGGACAGAAGCGCTGCATACACATGTGAGTTTGATCCCAGGCAGCCCATATGGTCTTGGAGCAAGGCCAGGTGTGGATACTGAATACACAGGCAGGAAAAATCCCTAATCCCTAAGAAAAAGAGAAAATGCAAACACCATGAGTGACTGGTGCAAAAGTTCTGGGGGTGAGGCACCAACATTTTAAGTTGCCAAGAGGTTTCAGTCCACAGTACCCCAAGGCCCCTGAC